TGATAATCATTCTCTTCATTGTGTTTTCTTGCCTTATTATGTCTTTGGATGCTAGAAATTGTTAATTCTATTTCATAGMGTGCTGGATATTTTTTGTATGCCTGTAAGTTTTCTTGAGGTTTTTTGTTGGAATAACGATAAGTTACTTGACAAGAGCTAAACCTTTTGATAGGCATTTCAGGAGCAGTAATGAGTCTAGGGTGAATTTTTCCCCACTACTGAGGCAATACCTCACTGAATCCTCTAGTTGGTGCCCAGTTAATTACATTATTTTCCCAGTGTGGCTGGTGGGAACAAGTGGTGGTCCTGGTACTAACCATTCCTTCTACCCCTTCAGATGTCCCACTCTTCAGTCTCGTATGCAGGCACTGATCAGTGCTCTACTAAATACTCAAGGAGGACCCTCTGCAGATCTTACGGGTTCTCTCTCTGCAGCTGTCTCCGCTCTAGTATGCTTGCCTAATAACTATGACTGACTTGGTCTCTTTGGACATTGCCTTCTGACTCTTAAAGGCAAATTGCCAGGCTTTATCTTMGGTCTCCCTCCCTGCACAGTGGCCTGGAAACTGTCAAGACAATAAACTGGGGTAATTATTGGATGTGGCTTGTTTATTTCCAGTGCCCTTCATTGTCTGGTGTCCAGTGTCTTCAACACATTTTTTTTTTCTTTTTTCATATATTTTGTTTACTTCAAATGGGAGGGCAAATTTAATTCTTCCCTGATCCCATCTTACAGAAGCAGAACTTTATAACTATTATTATTTTATTATTCATTTATGATTGTTGAGTGGGGAGCATGTCATGACCTACATGATTGTCTACTCAATTTCCCGAACCAGGAGGTGAGGGGATTGGGAAAAAGACAAACAGACACAAAGAGAGAAAAAAATCTAGACCCTGTGGATCAGCCAAACTTCTGATGGAAGAAGACTGGCCATGAGCAGGCTCAGCACGTTTATTATGTAGGTTTAAACATCAAAAGGATTTATTGTGGGAATGCTTCTTCAAGATAAACAAAATCAAAGTTGAGGGTAATACAGCTCCATTAGAGCTTATCAGCTTGCACCCATAACTTTCTACCTTCGGGTAGCAGATGTTTGAACCCAAGGCCCTGAACTAATAAATTCTGTGGCTGGCACAGAATCTCCTTCTTGAGCAGGGTGTCACCATTTCAATGTGYACCTTTGCACTGAGAAATTCCCAAGGAAGTAATTAATTCCCAAGGAAATCTGTCTTTGGGCAGTTTAAAACAATGATCCAGTCACTGCYCCCAACAGGAGTGAGCACCTACCAGAAGCTAGGCACTGTGTCAGGTATTGCATAAACAGTGGTGAAGGAATAGGACGTGGTCCCTGGCCTCTGTTTCACGATGATCAACTTCCGTGAGAAGGCGATAAATGTGCTAGTCCCTGGATTTGTGCACAAGGACATGAGTCAGATGGGATCAGTCCTTTCCAGGAATTCAGAATCAGGAGGCACTGAAGCAAATTTGTTAGTACAAATCAGACTCTGAAGTGTTATGTGTGAGCTACAAAGGCTTTGGGCAGTTTGAGGAGGAAGTAATTGATGCTGATTTGAAGGCATAAGGGAAAATGTCATGGAAAGAGTGACATTTGGATTTGTCCTTAAAGATATGATTTTGAATGTTGGAGAAGTAGGAGGCAGAGAGATGCTGAAAGTGCTTTTAAATACGAAAGCAGTTAATCATGATTCCCTCTGGCAGACACAGCCCTCCATCTTGCCCTTCTTTGCCAACAGAACCCTCACCATGTACAGCTTCAGAAGACGCTGTAATCTTCTAGCCCAGGTGCAGAACCTTTATTCATCTAAATCAGCCATGGAATTTCCATTTCCCATTGCCTATCTTTGGAACAGGCACAGGTCCAAGACACCATTCTAACCAATGAGATGTGAAGGGAAGTCTGCTGGGAAAGTTTTCTTCCTAGAACAGGAAGGAAGTACTCTTTCTCTTCCCTCCTCAAACCCCCAGGTGATTAGGGCAAAACAAAAACAAAAACCACAAAACCCCAGCTCAGTGGTAGAATACTGCCTAGCACAGGTGAGGCACTGGGTTGCAGCATTGGCACCACATAAAATATAAACAAATAAATAAAGAGGTTCAATTTAAAACAAACAAAACAAAACAAAAACCCAAAACTCTGATTCCTTAATGATGCCCTTGATCCACTTGAATTAACCAATGTGAATTTGATCTAACTCTAGACATTTTGTTACATGAGATGATTGCATTTTCTTTTCTTTCTTTTCTTCTTCTTCTTTGTTAACTTCTGGTTAGAGGTGTTTTTTTTTTTTTTTTTTTTTTTTAAGAGACAGAGAGAGAGAGAGAGAATTTTTAAAAAATATTTATTTTTTAGTTTTTGGCGGACACAACATCTTTGTTTGTATGTGGTTCTGAGAATCAAACCCGGGCCACACGCATGCCAGGCGAGCGCGCTACCGCTGGAGCCACATCTCCAGCCCTAGAGTTTTGATGGAGTTACTTGCAGCCCAATGCAGCAGATAAGTCCATTAATTCACCTATTTAGAACTTGCTTTTCCTTTCCTTTGATTCAATTCTGTGCTACATGTCATTCCTCCTGCTTTGGGTTCCTTTGCTTGATCAAGAATGGAGGTTAACCTAAGGAATTATTATGCACTTAATTAGTCTCCCCATACAGGCACAAGGGAGAAATGAAAGCAATTTTTAAAATGAAAGAAAGCAATTGCATAGTGCAATGCCTTGACTACTTTGTGTCCTCACATTTTCTGATCCCTTGGTTGAGAGGACTTTTTAAACTCTCATGAGAGAGGGAAGAGTTGAAAATAAGAAGAAAGAATGAAAATAAGCCCAGAGGAAATTATGTAAATGCTTCTGGATTCACAGCAGTGCTGGAATTCTCTGCTAATTCCGACAGGAGCCAAGACTACCTCTGGAACACTCTGTTGGAATCCACTAGTGTTTGGCAGGAAGCCAACTGTAAAAAGGTCAAAGGATGTGCCGTTCTCATTCCTGAGCGTCTGGATCAATCCCATCAACACAGGCCAGCCCGTGGCAAGAGCTGTACATAAGCAAAGTCTGTTACCAGTCTCCACTCACTTCCCATTCCCTTCCTAACCCTCTGCTTTTTCRAATTCTGTCCCTTCCTGTGGCTCCTCTGAATCTTCCTCACTCCCYCAACAATCCAGATCCTGAATGCCAGATGAGCACAGAGGGTATTAAGCCACTTAYCTCAGGATGTTTGCATTTTAGTAAGGAGCTCTTGCCCACCCAACATACTTCTCCTTTGCTAGAAATCCAAGTCTCTAAACAACTGGCAGTGGGGCRCGTGTCTGGTCTCAGACAGTACATTTGATCCCATGAAAAGTCAGCTGAGGTGGGGTAAGGCACCAASGACTGGATCCCCAGGTCTCACTGCCAGCTGGAGGGATGTACAAGGTCACAAAAGCATTACCTCAAACTCACTGTTCTCTGCCAGCTCACATAGGATCTTACCATCCTCTTTGCTTATCCTGCACATTTCAGTCTCAGTAGAGATGTCCTTTCCTCAAGAGACTTTCCCTGATAGATCCCCAAGTCTGGGTCCTGTCCCTCTGAAGTAACCCTCTGGAACAGAATGTCCCTGAGCATTTGTCATGCTGATTTGCAATCCAAGAATGGTTGGGAAACCAATACCTGGAACAACCTTGACATTTAAGCAGGCACTCAACTTATTGAAAGAATGAATGAACATCTATCTGATCACACACAGTACAGCTATAGCTCTGCAGAATACCTGCTGCATCCAGTCCAGGCTGTAGTGGGTCCACAGTAATTACTGTTAATTGATTGAAAGAGATCTTCATAAGAAAGGTACTTGCATCTATGCTTTTATTGATAAGCCCTCACATCCTTGTTGCAAGACTAAAAGCACAGCCCAGTGACMTTTCTTAGAACACGAGGAAGGTTGGGAGGTATATAAAACAGGATGGAGGACATTTCTGGGAGTACGGCTCTCCAGGGCTTATTTCTTCAACCATGGTTTTAGTTTTCTAGAGATCTTTAACCTGAGGCTTGTGGTTGGGCTTCAGAAGATCCATTAATCCTCTGACTTTTAATCACACCCCATGCCAATACTGGTGTGTGTGTGTGTGTGTGTGTGTGTGTGTGTGTGTGTATTCTGAAAAATGCCCATGGATTTCAATGAGTTTTAAAAGGCTGATTTTAAAAGAATGATCGCTCTAGACCTACACTGTCCAATATAATAGCCAATATGATAGTGATGGCTATGTGACACATATAATAATTTATATTAAAATGAAAATTGCAGTGCGTCAGCTACATTAGCTCCATGTCAAGTTCTCAAGAGCCACCACATATAGAAGAGCCCAGGCGGAGAACATTCATCATTGCAGAAAATTCTATGGGAGTTTCTCAGATTGTTATCATTACAGATAGTACAGATACGAGTTGATTCGTGTAACCCTTTGTGAAATGAATTGCCTACATTTAGAAATAAAAATATAAAAACTTGAAATTCCTATTRCTTTTGGAAAGCGGGACTATCTGCCAGCACCGGACTCCATTCCCCCAGGCCGCTGGAATGCCCCGGGCTGCATTCAGTTGGGTCACGCTGAAGTTATCCGGTGGCCCTCCTCCAGTTTGCGACCCCCCCTCTCCCAGGGGGACCACACCCACTTGGCCTCCCTACAGTCTCTAACTAAACTCCAAATTTTGCTAAATGGAGTTGTGTTGGGCTTAAGAGCACAGGATCTGCTGTGGGCGCTGGGCTGCGGCTGGGGTTCGGGCTCCCATTTGGATGTTGGTGGCGGGGCGGGGGCAGCGGGTGCTTCCCTACACTTCTCCGGAACGGCAGGACCAGGAGGAATCTTATCCTGAACATCTGTTGCTTGACAAAGAACTTCCCGGTCTTCCCGCGAGCCCTCCAGTCCCCAGCCCGGTTCGCCTGGGCCCGCCCCTCGCGACGAGAGGCGGGGAGGGGCCGAGGCGAAACCCGAGCCSGGTGCCCACCACCCCGGCTGGCGACGTGGCTCGGCGGCCCCGGCCTCCCCCGGCTGCTCAGCGGCCAATGGGCGCGTGAGCCCGGACGCCCGAAGCCGCCCGCGCGAGGTCGGGGCGCGCCCCTCGGCGGGGCCCGGGGCGGGCTCTGGCTGCGGCGCCCGCCGTCCCTCCCCCCGGCGGTCCCAGCCCCGCCGCCGCGCTGCGAGCCCCTACAGCCCATCCGCCGCTCGCGTCGCCCGCTCCTGCCTCCCTCGCAGCCGCCCTCTCCTCCGAACCATGGCGCGCCGTGGCCGCTGCCGCCTCCTGGGGCTCGCCCTGGGGCTGCTGCTGGCGCTAGCGCTGGCGCCGCGGGCGCTGCGGGCCAAGCCCACGGTGCGCAAGGAGCGCGTGGTGAGGCCCGACTCGGAGCTGGGCGAGCGGCCGCCCGAGGACAACCAGAGTTTCCAGTACGACCACGAGGCCTTCCTGGGCAAAGAGGACTCCAAGACCTTCGATCAGCTCACCCCAGACGAGAGCAAGGAGAGGCTGGGGTGAGGCCGCGGCCCGGGCCGCGCTGGGGGTGACACAGGTGCTCGCGGGACCACTGGGCGGGAGCCACGCGGGACCTCAGCGGCAAAGCGAAAGCGAAATAGCGCGCGTGGTTCCGAGCGTCCGGGCCAGCCCCCTCCAAGGCGCGGCGCCCGCAAAGTTGCCTGCTGGCGCTGGGACCTCGAGGTGGAGATCGCTGCCACGCCCCGGCCGGGTGGCTTCCCGCGGGGAGGCGAGAACGTGGCAGTGGCCGCGGAGCCAGGATCGAGAGAACCCGCCCCCCCCCCCCCCCCCGTTCTGTTGCATCAGAAGGGAGGGGAGAGTGTGTACAAAAGAAGTTTATCTACAGTGGCCTTTTAATGAGTTCTACCCCACAGGCTCAGGCTCTTTCTTACATCCCCGCCCCCAAACCGGGAGTGAGGGGGTGTCTGAGACACTTGCTAAGTAGGTCTCAAGGATGAACCAAATGGTTAAAGATGAAGGGGCAGGCTATTTGTGGGGCTTGATTCTTGGCCTGTGACTCTGGCTGGGTGTTATTGCCTGATGCTCAATTGTCCCATAAATCTGGTGTAGGGGTATAAAAATACCGTTGTCAAGAGAGGGGAATTGGGGATAAGAGATGGGGGGGTGAGGGGCACGCACAACTAGAAACTGGCCCCCTGATTTCTATTTCCAGCAGATATCCCGAAGACACCTCATGCTTTGGCAACTGTTTGTTAGGGGCAAAACGCTGGAGAGTGGCCCGTGGTGGTAGATTGTGAACTTATTCGTGGAATCAGAAACCAAAGCTGAGAAACAAAACTTTGATAGATCTCAGGGCACCCTTCCCTGGTCCCCCAGAGAAGACACTAGGCATTGTGCAGAATTATCTGGAAATCCTTCCACAGAGGGACCAACAGCCAGCATGGGTCCAGATGGAGGCAGGGTTGGGGAAGGACGTAGACTGCTTACTGGGCAGCAGGCTTCCAGAACCTGGCTCCTGGGGTGGAGGATCTTCTGTGTTCTGCTGTAATAAAAAGAACACAGCCATCCCTGTGCTCTTGGGGCCACCAAAGGCCAATGTGTGTAGTTAGACTATGAGGATAAATGATACCTATTGTGAGGTGCACCATCTGCCTGTTGTGATAAAAAAGACCTTTGAACTTCAAAGTCACCTCCAAACAAGTACCTTTTATTTGGCAGAGAAGTACTTTCTCTTCTTGTTTAGGACTTAACAATAGGGGCCATTGATTAAATTCAGTCTATTGTATTGCTTTGAGGCACTTGGAGACTGATTTATTCTGGGCCCCTGAGTGGCAACTATTCTGCATTGTTGCTGGAGAGGAAGGAGGGGGAGGAATGGGAGTAACTTTTTGTCCTACAGCTGCGTTTATTACCTTCATTATGTGGTCAGCCTAATGGCTAGAGCAAGTACTGGTGGAGTTGGCTGGGTTTGATCTTTGTGTGAAAACCTTGACTTCATTCATTTATTCATACCACAAACATTGGAATGGCTATTGTGTACCAGGCACCACATTTGATATCTGGCCTGCCACCTTGTGTTGTAGGCATCAGCGTGCTTATAATTAGGACAGGCAGGTGCTGTACCTAATCACTGTGATGGTGGCATGTAAAAACCATAGCAAGCCCTTCAAGGAGAAGGAGCCCTAAGATTTCAGGTTGGAGAGAGGGACTTGGTGACTTGGAGCTGTTGGTGATCAGAGCCTGTGGATGACTCAGAAGTTGTCAGGCATTCTTGAAGAGAGAACAGCCCATTTTTAGAGGGTTTGACCTCTCTTCTAGCCACAAGGGATGTTAGGTCCCTAAAGGGACAGAGGAGAAGGGGGTAGTAGAGGAGGGAAACCAAGGGCAGAGTGGGAGGGACTTCAGTGTGGTGGAGATTAAATGTCCGTGAAATGCCCGAGAATCACTAAAACTGTTAGGAAAAGACAGAGGCACGATGGGGATGCCTCAGGCAGGGAGAGGGAAGGAATGCCTGAATCTGGGAGAGGGTGGATCCTGACACGTGTGGCTTCTCTTGCTTTTGACTCAATGTGGGGGAGAGGTGGGAGGAGAGACCAAGGAGGACTTCTGGATCTCTGGCCTGAGCCACCAGCTGGGTRGTATGTGGGTGGAGCTTTTGGAAATTAGGGAGTAGTTCCCTGCAAGTCTGGGCTGCTGAGGGAGGACTGGCTGGATCTAGGCAGCTTTTTSCCCACTACCAGACCATCAGTTCTAAAACAGAAACCATTCTAAAGCCTCTAGAGACACCTAGGTCAGAGGGCTGCAAAGTGGGGACTCATATAGGCTGGATGCAGTTTTAAAAGTGCCTTATGTAATCGTAGGGGAACAAATTGTAAATTACTTGCTGCTTTTAAAATCTGACTGATTTCACATACAGACCCCAATTTTTAAAAATATTTTTTAGTTGTTTGTGAACCTTTATTTTATTTATTTGTATATGGTGCTGAGAATCGAACCCAGTGCCTCACACATGCTAGGCAAGCTCTCTACCACTGAGCCACAACCCCAGCCCAGACCCCCAATTTTTTTAAACACTCAATTGGGCAACCTTTCTTGACAACTATTAGGGAATCTCCCAGTTGCCATAGGGCCTCCTACTGGCTTTGCTCATTTTTGCTACTTGCTGAGTGTCTATGGGGTTTTTCCATTGACCTGGACCTAGATTAGTGTCTTTGGAGAGGAAAGGCACACCTCCTCTCCTTTGTTCCTCACAACATTCCTTGTGAAGTAAGTGTTCCAGCTTATAGATGGGAAAACAGAGGCTCAGAGCATCAAGTCATTTGCTCAAGATCTCAAGTAATGGGGCCAAAGCCAGAATATGGATCCAGGTGTTCTGATTAAAGCATTCAGCTTTCTCTACATCAAATCTGCCTTTCCCAGTATCTCACTCTTTGAGATTTTTTTTTCAAGAGCAAGGTCAAGCTCTTATTTATTTTTCTAACAAATAGTTATTGAGCTCCTCCTAGGTTCAGGCTAAGCTATGTCCTGGAGGTTCATTTGGTGTAAATTGAATGTACCCTTTTCTCAAAGGAAGGCTGTATGATCTGATGTCCTTAGGTTTTTGTTGGCCTGAGATTCAGCTCCTTAGTGGGTAGCCAATGGGCAGGTCACCACTGTGTTTCCAGGTTTGGAGCAGTGCCTGGCACACAGTAGATGGGATTAACACTGCACAGTGCTGAAAATCTTCTGCTGTGTCTGGGGGGAAGCCTGAAGATGCTTAAGGCTTGAGAGCTGTTAACATTGGGAAAGAAGGGACACCATAGGGGTGCTAGTAGCATTCGAACCTTTCGTTACCTTCCTGAGGAAGAACAGCTTGACCAAGCTCCCTGGGTTCAGGGAGGAGATGGTGACTTTGAATATTTACTCCACCCCTGCTCCCCACACTCATACCCTGTCTCCTATCGTTATTAGTTATAGGAGATCAAACCATCAAGCTGCACTAATAAAGAGCTAAGGAATTCATTTCCCTTCTTTTGTGGGGATGGTGCTGGGGATTGAACTCAGGGGCACCTACTTTGTATTTTATTTAGAGACTCTCACTAGGTTGCTTAGTACCTTGCTTTTGCTGAGGCTGGCTTTGAACTCACATCCTCCTGCCTCAGCCTCCCAAGCCACTGGGATCACAGGCTGCATCACCATGCCTAGCTCATATCTCATTTTTAATTAATCAAAGATCAACTCCAATCAGAACTTTTGTTGACAAGAAAATTTTACCACTGAAGTTAATTCTAGCCTCAAAAAGTCATAGTTGGCCAGTATGACCTCATCCCAGGTAAATGAAATTAGGGGTAAACTTTTGTAGACATTAAACATAGCTTAGGAATGTCTTTGAAGTTCCCTACAGAAATGGTGTTCCTAGCTTGGGACCATCTGGCTTAGAGATGGACACATGGCAAGTTTCCAACCTGAAGTTTGCTTTGGACTCGTGATTAGGATACCTCAATGGAGTCCAKTGGGAAATCACTGGAACCTGGGCCGGTTGTAGAGCTATGGAGACCCCAGTGGTCTCCGGGACCTTCACCGAGAGAGGAGGGGGCTTAAGCTTTTGCAGCTGCTCAAGTTTCTGGAATAGGTTCCATGCCATGGAGGTTCTTTCATCTCTGATATTTTATGCTGTGTCCAATAAGATCTGATCACCTGCTTTAAGTTCCAAGTATTTGAGTCCAAGGTGGTAAGATAAAACACAAAAACCAGGGGCTGGGGATGTGGCTCAAGCGGTAGCGCGCTCGCCTGGCATGCGTGCACCTGGGTTCTATCCTCAGCACCACATACAAACAAGGATGTTGTGTCCGCCGAGAACTAAAAAATAAATATTAAAATTCTCTCTCTCTCTCTCTCTCTCTTAAAAAAAAAAAACACAAAAAACCCAAATTGCTTACTTTTATGATTTACGTTGAATTTTCAAAAAAAAAATTTTTTTTTGGCCTTGGACCTGGAGCCCCCCCCAAAATGAGTCCTTATCCTGGTTGTACCAGATACTATCTGTGTGATCTTGAAAAATTATTGCATTTCTCTGGGCCTCAGTTTTGTTACTCTAAAATTAGGGAGTTGGAATACTCCAGGAAGGACAGATAAATTTGATCTTCCAGGTCAACTCCAACCAGTTGGTAGTGGCCKTCCCAGAGCATTCTGAAGTCATATCTAGGATTGTCAGGACAGAGGGGCATGGTCCMTTAGTAATGTCTGTAATAGGCAGCAGTCGAGGTATGGGAGAAGGGCATATCATTCTTGAAAGGATACATGTTAGCACTTTTTCCAACACTACTAGATCACGGATTCTATTTCAGTAATTTATGTGTTTTTAAATTGTGCAAGTGTTTGATCTTTCACTGGAMCAAGATCACACACACCTTTATAATAATCTTGTGGATTTTTTTTTTCCTTTTATTACAGGAAGATTGTTGATCGAATTGACAGTGATGGGGATGGCTTTGTCACCACCGAGGAGCTGAAAAGTTGGATCAAACGGGTGCAGAAAAGATACATCTATGATAATGTTGCTAAAGTCTGGAAGGATTATGATAGAGACAAAGACGATAAAATTTCCTGGGAAGAATACAAACAAGCCACCTATGGATACTACCTCGGTAAGAGGTGCTGTAGGAGACAGCACCCAGCTGGGGTCCAGGGAACAAGCTTCTTGAGGGGGATTTTCTTCTCTCTCATCATGCCTACCCATTTTGGGAGGTGGCATACCCTCCTAAATAGAATCTGTTGAGAACAATCTGCTACTAGGAATGGACTGAGTTGCTTACTTTGAAGTCCTTTGTGGATTTGTAGGGGAAGGTGTGAAGGACCACTAAATCCACTAGGTTGCTGCCGTACTTGGACCTGCATCTCAGAGATGCACACAGATAAGAAAGCAGAAAGAAAATATATCTGTGGTATAGTTTCAAACTGTTGGTAAATTTTAGGTAACAAGAATGGAGTGTTGTGGAGCAGTTGGAGACAGGGAGATGGTTTTCGGGAGGGTGGTTTGGTATCCAGGTCTTGAAGAATGGATTTATATTTGGAGAGAGAGAGAGACCTGCAGGGAAGGTGGGGGGCGGCAGAGAATAGTGCATTCAGTRAAATTTGGATTTAAGACAAACTAGATCAAAGGAGTAATGAGGCAAGAGTGTGGTGCATAGTGCCAGGGTGCAAACCCTCTTGTTGCCTGGTAGAGACAGCAAGGAGACAAGCCTAAAGAGAACCAGGGACACACAGGTGCTCAGACTCAGGAGATACTGAAAGCCAGGCAGAGGCATTTAGACAAGACAGGGAACCAGGGAGCCTATGTACATTTTAGATCAAAGAATGTATTGATGAAAGCAGAGTTCTGCAAAAAGAAGTACAGTATTGTACCTTCTAAAGCTTATGCCCTTAACCACTTGCTCTGTTGACCCTAATAAGCCATTAGGGCCTCTATGAAGGGATGACTTGAAGGGACAGATACTAGAGGCATTCTGAAATAAAATGTTTTAAAGAACTCAGTAGGTCAGGACCTTTTGTCCAATGTGTAATGTTTGGCTTTTCTGCATACATCCTGTAGGAAATCCCACAGAGTTCCAAGATAGTTCCGATCATCACACCTTCAAAAAGATGCTGCCACGTGATGAGAGAAGGTTCAAGGCTGCAGACCTCGATGGGGACCTGACAGCTACTCGAGAGGAGTTCACTGCCTTTCTACATCCTGAGGAGTTTGAGCATATGAAGGAAATTGTGGTGTTGGTGAGATCAATGAGGAGCCTGGGCTAAGAAAAGACCCAGGAAAATGCTGCCCTTCATCTTGTCCCTTCATCCACAGAGAGACATTTTTTTTTAGCCTAAAGAATTGGAAAAGGAATCTGAAGTTGAATGTGTTGAATGCCTATGTACCCAGGGAGTTAGTGCAAGCTAGCCGCTGTAACAAATAGCACCCAAACAAAATCATTTAACATGATCAAAGCTTGTTTCTTACAAAGTCCTGTACAGATGGTCCCAGCCAGATWCATCTCCTGGGCAGTTCCCCTCTAAACACCATCAGGTACCCAGACTATTTCCATCTTGAGCTCTGCCATCTTGTGGCTTCAAGGTCATCCTAGTAACAACCAGGTGGGAGACRAAGGAAAGAAAAGGAATAAAGAGAATGTATAGATGGTCTTTACTTTTCTGGCCMCGAAAAAAGACACATCCCTTCCATTTATGTTGCAGTGACCCCTTCTAGATATGAGGAGACTGGAAGAGAGAGTGTAGACATGTGCCTAGGAAGAGCAGATGGGTTTAGGGAGCAACTGGCTCGTGTCCACCTGTTTTTTAGCTTTGAGGGACTTAGAAAAAGATTTTGAGATGAAATACACTGGATTGTTAAAAACTTATGGACYTAAGGTGGAATGGTGGTTTATAATGATGCTACTCTTAAAGATGGGTCTTTGGAGGATAAAGGGATCAGACGCTAGGGTTTGAGTGATGAGTGTCTTGTAAGGCCTTTTAGTTATCACTTTCCAGTGTTGTTTGGGGTCCCAGGTGCCCATTTCCCACAACAWTTAAATAAATGCCATCACCTGCTTCCTGGGTAGATGTCCTGAGCCAGTTTCAATTGCTTTGATGCTAAGAAATAGGTGCCTTCTTTCAAAGAGAAGCCTTTGTTCAGAAGCAGCTCTGGATTGTTTTAGTCATCCAGGTGACATCCAGGGAGGGGTCCACTCCTGCCTCATGCTCCAGCTCATGCTCAGGACACCCAGGACCCTCAGGACTGGGTCAGGGCTTCAAGAACYATTTCTCTCTCCCAATATCTGTTTAGTGATAACTAATTTTCCAGAGGACAGTGATGATGGAATTATCCACAAGTGGACTGATTACATGCCTTCCAGATTAGTGCTGTGTTCTCTGGTTGGCCGTTTTCTTTGACTTGGGATGTCTTTTGAGTTGCTGTGCCTATAGACAGTAAACTCATTTAATTACTGACCCTGGCAAAAGAACTAATTAGGAAGTCAAATATACCAATTCCAAAGTAGAATAYATTCAAAAGTCAGATATACTTTTATTATTTAATTATTTGTGATTTCATATTTCTCTGATTATTCAGTGTTCCTGGTCCTGGTAGCTCTAGAATCTGTTTTTGTGATCATTCCATCCAGTGGTCTYACAGATCCCCCAGTGCTTGACTAGATGGTGAAGATTGGTTGGGTTGGCAGGGCTTCCTGATGGATTCCCAACACCTCTGGGCTTCTAGGGACATTTTTCTTTAGGGAAGGATTTTTGCTTTTAAAATTATGGGGAGGAGGAGTAGGGACAGAATCCATTGCCTCTTTTAACAGGTGAACTAGTGCCTGGGCAGGTAAAGGAATGAGCCTGGAATCACCAAGCATGAGGCCATGAAAGCTGGACATTAGAATTCTCAGCTCAGAGCACATGACCATCTTACATTGTATCTTGCCCTTTGCTTCCTAGGAAACTCTGGAGGACATCGACAAGAACGGGGATGGGTTTGTGGACCAGGATGAGTACATTGGTGAGTGCTGGCCWGGAGTTGCTCAGCTGTCCTCGTGGGGCAACTTTCTTCCACCCACAGACATCTCTTAAAGCAGCAGCTGCAAGTCTAGTAGTGTCCTACTGGGACTTCCCAGTGGGGAGGGCCTTCCACCCCATTTGTCACATCAGCCCTAGTGGTGCTATGTCAGGGGATCATTATTTAGCCTTCCATCAGCCCAGCCTAGAATCGCTGAGCAGATGCAGCAATGGTCAGTAGAACTGTTTGTGTACCTGAGCTCTCTGCAGAAAGGTATYCTTTTCAGAGAATGAATCTTCTACCAAGTGTCCAGTTGCCCAATGACATAAGCAWTTTGTGCCTCTCGTTTTCCATCCGGGGTTGTCCATACCTAGCACTGTGATCTAAAGACGTTCACTTAAGCAGTGTTGAGAAGTGCATTTTCAGGTCTCTGTGAGCACTGGCTGGCTGAAGCTTGAGTTCTCACTGGGGTCACACGCCACCATTGCTGGGTAGAGCCCTCCCTGGTAGCCCAGTGTCCCCCYGTCCCCCSAAGCATAAAGGAGCAGGCAACAAGRAAATGTGCATTTTGCTCCAGAAACTGCTGAGGCATGTGGCTCCAACTGCGTACTGCCTTCTCATGACAGCTCTTGTATTCCCATCCCAACTTTTTAAATCAAAGCTGGAAAATCAATTGGTTTAAGTGCTGACCTATGAGAGAGGAATGCAGTAATATAATTTTCATATACATATTTAATAGAGACAGTTAATTATCTTTGTATGTAAACCTAGAGTTGCCTTTACTCACTTGTTTTGTGGTTGCCTTATTTTGCCACCTCACATACAAAGACACGAACCTTTGGTAATGATGAGCAGAGTTTTTGATCATCGTTAGAAATTATATTTGGTTCTGAGAACTGAACAGTTGCCTGTCTGTCTTTGGTAACAGACAGGTAGCTCTCGCCACAGTAATTAAAGTGATCTTGGTGGTACTACCCTTTAGAAAAAAATGCTGATAGCTACCTCATCAWGCAATCAGATGTGCCTTTCAGTTGCTGGGTACACGTGAGAGTGTTCAGCGCCTTGGAGGTCTCACTGTGACAGTGGTGATAGAATTAGACTGACAGAAAAGGCAGACTGATAAAAAAGCAAACAATGTAGCACTTTTGATTAGCAGCCAGCGCTGTTCTGGGTCCTCCTGAACTCTGCATTGAAATGATGCAAGTCAGGGGCAGAACTCTGTGAGTGGCTCTGCCTAAAAGAAACATTCCATTTTTTACACCAGGCAGAGAGGGAGGTAGGGGCATTGTATATGAAAATCGAATTTCGAGTGACTTGCAGTCTGAAAGACCTGCTGTATTGACTTCTTTTCATTTCTGGGGCAGCCTCCTCTTCAGGCAGGGCTGAGTGGGAAACAGGTGATGGTGTGGTATAATGGAAAGGGCACTGGAATCAAGAGCACTGGCTTCTCCACTTAATAGCTTCACAACCCTGAGAGAGTCATGTAACTCTAAGACTCGGTTTCCYAGTCTGCAAAATGGGAAAACATGGCTTCCATCTTTGTAGGATTGATTGAAGTACAAATTAGCTAAGATGTGGGGCAGCCCTTTCTCAAAAACAATGAGTAAATATTAGGTGTGGGCTTGCCTTGTGGCTACCTTATAGCCAAAATTCACACCAAAAGCTTTCATTCCTTACCTGCTTTGTTTACCACCTGACAGTTTTTCCTATATTGAAATTTCATATTACAAAGAGTTTTTCTGTACCTTGAAACTTTATTACAAAGTTTTTCTATATTGAAACTTGATTATAAAGAGTTTTCCTTATATTGAGACTTTTTATTTWWTTTATTTATTTATATATGTATTAGATGTTGATGGGCCTTTATTTTATTCATCTATTTTTATGCAGTGCTGAGAATGGAACCCAGCTTATTTTTTTTTTTATTTCATTTTTAGTTGTAGTTGGACACAATATATTTATTTATTTATTTTTATGTGGTGTTGGGGATCGAACCCAGGGCCTCGCCTATGCTAGGCAAGGCGCTACCGCTTGAGCCACATCCCCAGCCCCCCCCCAAAAAAATGATGTTTCTAAACTGTGCTCCCATCAAAGACAAACTGCCCACAGTTCAGACTCTTTTCTAAAAACAAGCAATGTATAAATGTTTCTTTTTCTTGCTATTTTGGAAATGTGGGTAATGGTCTGTCTTATGGAATTGTTTTAAGGATGGAAAAAAAAGAAAGCCCTTTGGAAATGACATAAATGACAGTAGTTATAAGCACAGTGGTTAAGGCCATGGGTTGGAAGCAGAGCACCATGTTCCTGTGCAGCCTCAAGCTCAGACTAGCTGTGGTTTGCAGGGAGGCTATGCCTGTTTTCATCTGTAAATTGGAATCACCAACTATACCTAGTGTTCATATGGTTGTTAGGAAATCAAATGAAAGAAAAAGCATATAGAACACTTTCAGTTATCCTGACCAGTGTAGAAAATGCTCTGAGGTGGTCATTATTACAAGTTTTCACCTTTATGTACCAATTTGGGTTACAGAGGCTTTCACATAAACAACCCATTTGATCTTCCTAATAACCATGTGATTTGCCTATTATTATCTCCATTTTACAGACACGGCCCATGTGGATGTGTCTTTGCTGACAGTTCTTACAGACAAATTTAAGGCTCATTCACCGAAGTAATCTAATTCCAGTTACAGAACTAAGTCAAGAGTCAAGTTCACTTCCTGGATCCTAATCTCAGGTCTTCCTAGTCCACCAGGTGGCCTTCAGAGTGGATAAATCATTGCATTATTATCACCAAGAATCCTCCCACCATCTGCTTGAGTTAGGTCTGTTGATGGGGCTGGGGATGTGGCTCAGAGGTGGAGCGCTTGCCTAGTGTGCCTGAGGCCCCGGTTCCATCCCCAGCACCCCCAAACATAATGACACTAAGAGGTAGGCCTCTTGATAGGTCATCACCTTTCCAAAACCTTAAGGGGTCAAGTGTTTTGACTTCTCCCTTCCCTCTTGAACGCTTTCCCTTCTAGCCGATATGTTTTCTCATGAGGATAATGGCCCTGAGCCAGACTGGGTTTTGTCTGAACGGGAGCAGTTCAGTGACTTCCGGGATCTSAACAAGGATGGGAAGCTGGACAAAGACGAGATTCGCCACTGGATCCTCCCCCAGGATTATGACCATGCCCAGGCCGAGGCCAGGCACCTGGTATACGAGTCGGATAAGAACAAGGTAGTTCAAATGTTTGGGATCATTGATTCAAGGGTGACAGTTTACATAAGATTGCTTTGTTTGCCTCTGGTGATAGCATTGGCCCCTGTGGCCCTGTCATGCTGACTTCCTGTTCTTGCCCTGCAGTAGAGACCTGTAAACTTGAACCAGACCATGGTATCCCACGGTGAGCTCACTGGGCCCAGCCTCCTCTGGACAGCCAGCTGCGAGCCACAAACTCTCATTGAGTCACACCTTTTAGGATTGAAGAACCAGCAACTCAGATGTGGGCAGGGCAGGGAATTAAAGCAAAACATGCCTGCCCTAAGACAAGCTTATTCATCCATTCGTTCAGTTACCAAATGTTCATCAGGCTTCTGGGATATGCCAGGCACAGGGAAGCTTGTCCCMCCCACAGCCCAGATACCCTCGGGCAGGCTCCCACTGCTGGTTCTAATGCCAGTACTTTATGATCTACTGATATCAAAATAAATAAATACAATTAATAAAAAGTCCTGCTCCATCCAACTTTGCTAGTTGCCCCGAATTCCCAGGTTATTCAAACAGGTCGTGCAGCTAGGCTATAAAAGGGAAGTGGAATTCTTCAGGGCCTGTTTGAACGTGCTTGCACTGYTTGTAGACATAAATGGATTCCAGCTTCTGATTTACTCAGGGACCTGCCTGATGTACTTTTGCACAGCTTTTATAGCAAGAGGATGTTACGGTTTGGAATTTTGAAGTGCAGTAATGGTAGATGAAAGAGGAACCCGGAAGCTTCTGAATTATTCAATGTAGCATTTAAGACATTGCAAATCAATGAACTAGCATGGTTTTCATGATGAACGGTAGACTCACAGTTACCACAGCTTCCCTGACAGCTCTTCCCTCTCTCCTGCAGGATGAGAAGCTAACTAAAGAGGAAATACTAGACAACTGGAACATGTTTGTTGGAAGCCAAGCTACCAATTATGGGGAAGATCTCACTAAAAATCATGATGAACTTTRAAGAGACACTCACTATAATGTGGCAGATTGTCATACGCTTTCATTTATTGTCTTGGGTGGTTGCTACAATTGTCTAATTTACAGTAGTTGTGTCCCCCCAGATGCAAGT